AGAAGCATTGGAAAGAAAAGGAGGGAGCTCCTCTGCAGACTGGAAAACAGCTGATGCATAAAAATATAAACAGGGCTGAAATTAGCAACAAGTTGCTGACTATCTTTCCTTTTTGTAAAGTTCACTCAGCTACTAAGATGTAAATTAAGCCTTAGAGAAAACATAGCATATCAAGTGGAACTGTGAAGCAATCATAAGCCATAGGCTGAGCACAAGTTTGATTTAAGATTCTACTACTTTCGGGCTCTATTTTCTGACTAGGATGTACTGTATTTAACTCAATTGCTCAGGAAGCAGATTCAGCTACCTATTAAACACGTGACAGTTTCAAAATGTTCAAGATTCTCTGCCCAGGACTCACATTACTCAGCTGTCAAAGTAAAGGGCTCAGATATATGATGTGAAAATTACATTTTAACGAGGTGTCATGTGTGTTTAAAGTTCTTATTCATCACTACATAGCTACAGCTTTTACTGGAGACACAAATGCACTTAATTAGCATATTATAAGGACAGAAGGTTCACCTTATCTGCATTGCTAAACTGTTATGTGTAGGCTTTTGGTTGCTGGTTTAGATTCCACTATCCTCAGTACATATAAGAATGGCTGCGTTTACATGCATAATTTCAAGTGGCTTTCAAGAAAACATGGATTGTGTTTGGGAAGTAGAAGATCAGGTACAAGACAGTAGCTATATGTCTTCATTGTTCTAATGTTAGTACTTATTACTTGATGTGTTTTTCACTAAATCTCAACCAGTAGATTTTTAGATCTGATAGACATGCTAATTTCAGGAAATTTTTCGAGCTGGGCTTCTCTGCCTGTTATTATTAACTTGAACATACTTCCTTATCCTTTAGTAGAAAATGCTGGAAAACATTTACATATTTGACAAGGAAAAATCAGATTTTTCTAAACTGTCATTAGAAAAATCTAAGAGTCAAAGAAACTCCCTCACATTTCACTTCTCTTTATTAAAGAATCATGAATTTGACACCAGGTGGTTTGGGAGAGAGAACGGTGTAAGACTGAAAGTCAATCAACACCAGCCACTAATAATAGCTAAATGCTAGTGATGGAACTATCTGATTCCCTCACACCAGATTTATCAGGGTGTAACACATCATTTTAGAATTATGATGCCAATGTGAGCATCACTCAATCTGTGAAATAACTAAGTCTTATGTGGAAGTTTTAAATGTATTTCTTAAAAAAGATAGCTAATTGAAGGCATAACGTATTTTATAAGATAGGAAATAGGCTCAGTTAAAAGTACACTTGAAGAAAATTCTAGATTTGATAGATGTGGTGTTTGCCAAGAAAAAATAGAGGAAGCACGTTCACCTGTACTTTACACTCCAGTGCCAATACTTACAAATATTTTTGATATAGGTGTCCAAAGCTGGATCACTGGTTCTTCAGATAAAATGTATTGCAGTTGAACACAGCTATTATACATTCCTGAATATAATACATATTCCAATTTCTCTAAGTTGAAGAAATCCCTGTACTTTTTCAACTGAAAAATTTGAGAATATGTTCTTCATATAAAATTCTTTTAACAGGTGCACACTTCCTTCCATATTATAAGACTACTGATTTTAATTTCTTCTAGTTACTTCTGGAAGAAAGCACATTAGGTGTTAATGTGCTTTGACACAACAATCTGGGTGAAGAAGGGGAGAACCTGGGGGCTGGAGGTAGGGGTGATGACTGGAGTGACTTAATAAAACTTCTAGATTATAAAAGTGTTTGGCAAACAGTGAAAATGTTTACCCAAGGGGTGTGTACATCATCTTCATAAAAGAAATTTAGAACTAATACTCCAATTCCCATAACATCCTGAAAAAGCAGGTTTTAAAAGTATATGTATTTTATAATTCATTCATTCATTCATTGATTAAATCATTAAACAAATCTTTACAAAGCACCTAATATTTATCAGGCACTGTGTAAGGATTTGTATAATGTATTTTATAATTCATTCATTCATTCATTGATTAAATCATATTAAACAAATCTTTACAGAGCACCTAATATTTATCAGGCACTGTATAAGGATTTGTAGATGAAAATGACTAGAACAATATCAGTGAGATTATTTCAATGTGAATCAAAATCTAATTAGTTCTTAAAGAAAAAGGTTTTTTATAACTGAGATTCTTTTCATTTGTATATTTCTTACTAAGTGAAATATAATGATATTATTAAAAATTGTTTATAAGAAATTGTTTGAAAATGTAATTGCTATATAAATGCCAAATAGCAGTATCAAAATAAGTTCTGATTTATTTTCCCACTAATTTCAAGGTGGAAATTCACAAAAATGCCAGCAATTTTGCATTTAATATAATGCAGAGTAAGTGCTGACAGCATAGTGTTCTGAAAATAATGGTTTTAGGGAAAAATGAGAAATGCATTTTAAACTTCTAAACTCTGCCCAGAAGAATAGGCCCATTAAAGAACTTTTCAAGGAGAAACTTCGCTTATAGTCTACAATGAACATTTGAATACAAGTTTAAAATATGTAATCAAAATTAATTTTATATAGATATTGTAGAAACAGATTGTACCATCAGAGGTTTCCCTTTGAAAAAGAATGCAAATATACATGTCATGGAACTGAACCAACCTAACAAAAGACAGGAACTTCATAAAATGTGACAATTAGCAGTTTGGGGATAGGTGTTGGGAAAAGAAAAGAACTGTAATTAAATGACTTCTGAAACCACTTTTTAGGATATTTCTGAGGAACTAGCTCTTCTTCATATTCTTCCTCAAAGTTTACCATTTCAGACTTTTAAAATGACCCTTGTAAGCACAAAACAAAAAATCTGATTTCATGGTTGAAGAGTAGATACATTTTTTAGATTTTTTACAAATCTAAGGTAATTAACTGGTATGAACTGCAAATTGTATTTATATCCAGACTGTGCTTGGCACTAACAGCTGGGTGATTTTTGAATAAGTTACATGGCTACAATGCATTAGGTCTCTTATTTAGAAAATGTGGATAATTCAGGTCTTGTACGGTTGGTGTGTATCTATTAGGTTGTTACCGTATTATGCCTATTATGTTTTTATTCTCATTAAAATCTAGCAATAATCTTCTGAGATAGGTATTACTTTTCCATTTAGTTAGGATACCAGATAGTTGAGGGAACCAGGATTGACAGGCTGAGCAACCTATACACAAACAAGTGAAGGCAGAATTCAAACCCAAGTCCTTTAGACTTCCACGCCCATGTTCAGAAACATATGCTACCTATATGTAAGCTTTATGAGAGGATTTTTATACATCCAAGAGAAGCATATTTGCCTTTTTTCTTCCAACACCAGATGTTTTGATGTACAGAAAAGTTGTATACAGCAGAAGTAAAACATAGACATTCCTTTACATAAAAACTTCTTAAGTGTGAATTTTCATTGATTAGAACACAGTTAAAATCAGAGGCAAAGGACTCAGCCTGCTACTAACAGATGGCAACAACAAATACACTTTGGTTCTACAAACTAAGGATTAGTTTTTGACCCTAATATACATGTAGTAAGTTAAGGGTTTCTGTATATAGACACATTAACAAGACCCATAATCAAATGGCAATAAAAATTCACAAAAGGCAATTTCTTGAAAAAGTTTCTTGTTATTTACTAAAATAAATAAATAAATAAATAAAAATAACACCCAGCTGAAACTGTTTATGTGGAATAAGATGAATAACCTCTATTAACACTAATTGAAATTCTCATATCCACACATACCATGCATAAAATTTACTTCTACACTTATTCTTTCCACCTCAAAATTTCAATAACTCCATGCCAAAATACTAGCTTTTTAATTTGAGCATTTGTGCATGAAAATTGGTACTTTTTTTGCAATTATACTGACAAATTTAATACGTGAGAAATCTCACTATTTGCAAAACAGAGAAAAGGTGTTTATTGTACAAAAAACTGAATCTCCTGGCTTAAGTTATGAATCCATTTTAAAAGCTGAAGTTCATCATTTCTCATTGTTTGCCACTTCAATAACATCTTTTTAACAAATATGGGCACTAGCACAAGTAGACAAGATGGCCCACATATATTAGTGTGTATATGTGAATATATTTATAAGTTTATTGATGTATGTTAGAATTTTTTTTGACAAATCTCTAAATACATGGGACTACAGTACCTTCTTACTCCTTATAGATAACTTATAAATACTGTTAGGAATTTGCTAGCTAATTAATCGTAATTTGCCTATCATTCTAAATAATAATAATGTATGATCTTCTAAATAAATAAAATTTGAAATAGGTTATTGTCCCTTATTCACTGATTAATTCCAAAACATGATGAGTTATAGTTTATTATTTTTGAGGCAATTATTTCCTGTTCCAATTAAGAGTCAAAAAAGGCTAAGAACCATTAATAAACAAAGCATGCAATAAAATATAAATTTAGTTTAAGAATATCACAGCTGTGAAAGAATTCTCTTCCCAGAATACTCCAGATGACTGGTTCTCTCAGACACATGTACACTCAAACTGACAGTCCTCCTTACAGGGGTGGTCATATATGATGCTCTCTGTGAGGTAAATACACTGGTGCACCTGACTCCTGAGGCATTATATCAAGCTAATCCTTTGACATGTTCCAAGTGGAGAGCATTTCTGAGGGCAGTAATTAGACAGACTGGCATTCTATTGTAGCAAAGGTTTTGTGTACTTCACTATAGCAAGAACTAACCAGCTGAAAATGACAAATGTTCTTCAAAGAGGAAGGGCTAAAGATTGGAGACAAGCTACACAAAGAAGAGTCAGTTTCTTATAGTTTTTACAGCTGAAAGTGATTAACAACAACCTTTTTCCCATTAAAGACAATAAACAATTTTTAAGTGTATAGGCCAGAAGAAAGACCACAAAGGAAGTCTTGTCAAAAGGTACAATAAACTTATTGAGAAAAAACTGTAAATAGTTCCCCGTAGAGTACCATAAAAGGTTAAACTTACCTGATCTACTATCCAGAGGTCCAAAATCCAAAGAATATTTCACCACGTGATAGTTATTCCATACATAAAGTAGGTTGTCCCTGGGGTTGTAATCCACAGCTGCTATGTACTGGTATGAATTGGGAAAGGGTACATCCACCAAACTATCCTTGCTTTGGTCGGTGTTGTAAATGTAGTCAATCTTATTCCCAGTGGCTTCATTGTCATCATCCTCATAGACAGATTTGACCACATACAGAATCCCACAAATCATAAACGCATTGGAAGCTGACCTTTTATCATATGCAGTATCCCATGTCCCTTCAATCCGTAGGGTGTAAGGGTTCAATTGACTAATGACAATTTTACCATTGTTTTGTTCTGTTGCATAGATTACCCATAGCCCATTCTCATCCACTGCCAGGTCTATGTCAGATTTGCCTCCCCATCGGTAAGGGGAAGTATCATGGTAATTGGCATTTGCTATGATAGCCTCTCCACTCTTTATCCTAGTCCGCAAATCAAACTTTACTATGTTCCTGGTGCGTTCTTTGTTGAAGAACAAAGCTCCATCGTATACTACAAATCCTGTGCCATCCACCCTGTGAGGGAGCTTGTAGGTTGTAGTTGGCCTTCCAGCAATGAAGTCATCCTTGGATGAATACTCAGTCAAGGTATCAGTTCTGTAGGGGGTCCAGGGCATATAATAAATCTTGTCAGAAGCCTGTAGAGGGTCTTTGCACCACGCCCCAGATTGGTGGTCAGACTCAAACAAATGTTCACTCTGGTACACTCCTTTTAGTAGCCCAGGACAAAGAAAAACTGTTGGAAGGGAAAGAGTTAAAATAATAAATATATTAATTTCATATTTTGTCATATATTCTTATTTTTCACCAAATGGAATATAACTCTAACAAGAGATACCCACCACCACTTATTTTACTGCATTCTTTTGAAAACACAAATTATTCTTCCACAAAAATTTTGGCTTTTTTTCCAAAATAATTTTGATTTAACTTGCTGAAAAAATTTAGCCTTTTTATGAGTAGTTGTGCTTTCCTGTGATTTTTACCTTTATAAACATGCGTAGTAACATTTTTGGATATATGTATAAGATATAACATATGTCTATATATTCTATAGACATATAACAAATAGGAAAGTTTATACACAATGTTTTTATTAGTTCATTGAAGAACATATCTTATTTGGAAATAAAAATATATTGTTTCCTTTCTGATGAAATTAGCTATTCAATAATTATCATTAAGAAACAAATGGATATCCCGCAGTAATTTTTTTTACAAATAAAGGAAAAATAATACAATACAGGCCACTGAATCTTCTAGCAAAAAAGCTCTCAAAGCTGCTACAGCACACAGAGCATGCAACCCACACAATTAAAAATGAGTGATGGATGGATACTGGAAGGGAAAAGAGAAAGGAAGAAAAAGAAAGGAAAGAAGGAATAAGGAAAGAAGAAAAGGTGAAAGGTTACAGAAAAGAACCCAAGATCTAGATTTTAATCAGTTAAAAATGTCCTGTTAAATACAGTAGTATTGGAACTTAAAAACATGTACCTTTTACTGTTAAATGAGAAGAGCATTAAAAAAACAAGATTACTTGCTATAATATTTTGCTGCTCATACTTCAGAATAAAAATTGGCAGGAATCATCTGATTCACTTGATTTTTTAGTATGATTCAGTAGCATACTGTGTGAGTGATGGTAAGAAAGCTGGGCTGATTAATCTGTAATGAAGGGGCTCTAAAGTGATGTTTCCCGAAGGGTGGTCCTTGAAGCACTTGTTTCAAGTGGTAAAACTAGATATTACACAGAAAGAAAAAAGGATCCTTGGCCACATGTGTTTGAGAAATACCATATTAAATATAATTGTGGAAGAGATTCTAATATCTTAGGTATATTAGTGAATCTCCATGGCAGAAGAGGTGAGAGTGGGCAAATTTCACAAACAAATTTGATCATGGAACCTTTTCTATAGAGCGTCTGGAGTGTAGTGTTCTGCTAAATCTGCTATGGGAAACACTGCCCTAATATATTTGCAAAGCAAATACACTGAAAAATAATCATGCAGTCCACTGTTATGTTTGAAATGATTAGAAGTGTACCAGGTGGAGAAATCAGGAAATAACAAGGAATTTGGATGTTATGCCATTTTTTTTATAATTAAAAGATTACTCTTTTGGCATTAGCAATTAGCTTTTTAACAGCAACTATAAGCATAGACCCAATGGAAAACAATCTAAGATAAAACTCAGCCAGGTTTTAAAGACTGTTGAAAAGGAAAGCACATTACTAAAATGTCCAAAGTTTTACTTTTGAAGAAATGAAAAGTTTGGGGGAAAATCTGACTACTGAAATCTTCTATAGCAAAGATAGAGAGCCACCGTCAAGTAATATTTAATAATAATGTTGATGATTATAAGAATTTCTCAGGATTTTTAATATTGCTATAACTATAAAGGATAGGTACCCATTGTTGTCACAATTGTATATAACCTTTATGTTAAAGATAATAATCAGCCTTTGGCTACAGAGTAATTTACTTTACCATATTTCAGAAAACTATCTTCCCTATTTCCCCAATAGTGAAAAATTAAGGGACAGGGGAAACCATACCAGAGCCATGGAAAATTATCTACTCTAGAAATAAAAATAAATCTAAAGCAATTAATATCCATCAACATCTACTGAATTTCTAACTACTTATTTTAAAAGAGAGGACTAAAATACACTTTTGAAAATTTTATACTATTAAACTGTTTTAGGATGAAAGGATCAAACCAGCACTGGTCAGTAAAACAGATTAAAGTGAAGTTGAGCAGCAGAAGTAGTAAATAAATTTTCATAAAATAGATAAGAATTAATAACAAAATTATTTTAAGTAAATGTTAAACTGTTAAATAACTTAGCCTATAAATAGTACATAATTTATGAAAGGTATTTAATTACCTTTTTGTTCCACTTCTATTGGAGAGAGAGAAGTAAAGAGAGAAAGGAGAAAAGAGAATAGATTAATGGTACGGTATTGGCCAAGCACTTTTTATTCACCTCTTCCAAACCGAAAGTAAATAATTTACTTCACTCATACTTGCTTTATTGAACATTATATGTTTTTTTAAAAACCCATTTCTCTAATACAATTATTTTTAAAAAATCACATTAGAAACTTTAAAATACATAATAAAATTAGAAAAAAATGTGGCAAAAATTAATCATGCTAGGATTGAATAAACATACCATTCCGAGCTATAGACATTGGAAATGCAGCGTTTATAATAAGAACATTAATATTTCCGTTTGAAAAGCAGGCCAGCAGTTATATACAGAAAGCTTTCAAATAGTTGGCTAGTCTCACTTATAAACATAATAGTTTATACCACTATTTAACATAAAAATTTTGCTTTTTATGCATTTCAAAGAATTGATCTCTTTAGAAGAAACTATTTTGCAACCTGTTTCCTAAGGCCTAAAATTTTCCACAACTTGTCAATCTCATGAGAAATGCAACTCATAAGGATATGAATTAACAGGGAGTGCTCTTACTCTGAATAAATGGATTTAGAACTCTTTTTGAAGACTTCTCATCCTCCCACTCATCAATATTTTATATTATTGTGGAAAAAATACTGTCTTTCAGAAAAATGTTATCAGAAGGTTAATATAATTAATGAGCCACTGGCTCTGGGTCTTTTGTAAAATTCTTAACTGAGTCAATGTATACTTGTAAAAATAAACTCAGATCCTAAATGTTATTTTATGTACCTCTCAAACTAGATTTCATTATCATATTGAAGGTACTGATCAATACAAGCCAGTGAAAATTCTGGGAAATTTTAACATATTCACAAAATTCATCAAGTGGCATTTTCTTTATCTTATAAACATTTGTCTAATCAGAGACAATTTTCCTACATCCTAATGACAAAAAGGGACTGATGAGAAAAAAGGGAGACGTTGGAGAAGAACGGATTCATAACCCAAACTTAAAAAAATTACAGCTTACAAGTGATGTGAAACTAAGGTTATTTCAGTGCAAGAGATGAACTGAGACATGAATAATAAAAATTTAAAACTAGGAATTTTTCAAAAAGAAGCAAGAAATACTATTTTGGGTAGTTACATTTGTGTGAGTTTTTTTGTGTTTTGATCTAAGCTCAAATGTCTTCAATAATTGTCAAAACCACACTCGCTTCTCTCCATTGCCTTTTGTGAAGCCTCAGTATCATGTATGTTAGAAGGAAAAACTGGCATACATCAAAAATTATGCTTAGAAAGTTGCAAATGGGATTATCATATTTTAGATCCCTCACCTCAGTAATTTACAAATCTCATTCTTATGAATCTTTCTGACTGTCTTACAAACTCTATTATACTGTTATAATTTATCATCACCTTCCATTAATCTTTATTAAATAACTACTATTCACTGGATTGTATGCCTTAATATAGGCCAGTTAAAAGCTTTATCTAAGAGATGCATTTCATGCTCTGACTAGTATACGAACAAACCTACATTCAGACTGATAACTAGAAGAAGCATAACTAAGCACCTTAATTTATTTAACCAACAATCTTAAAATTTTGGACTTGAGGTCCATTACAATGAAGGTTAAGGTAGAGATGACATTTTTCAACTACTGACCTACAAAGAAATTTCTAGAACTAATTTGGTTCCTTGCCATAGCTCTAGATATATATCCCTTTGAGAATTACATATGAAGATATTTACAATCTAAAACATAAAATGTATGCTCACAGAATTTTAGTCTTCTTCACATAAAACTCATAGACAATCTTACTCTTGAAGGTCAAATATCCTAATTCTTGTGAGTGATGTTTCTCTTTAACATTGAGGAAGATAGAATATGTGACAATAAGTATTAATATCTATTATATTCTGTAAACATTATTTTACACTTTGATGAAAATTTTCATTTTTTGAGAACTTTCACCTCTATTATCTCAGTTGTCACTCAGTAAAATTTTGCTTTTAATTCTGTGGTCCTTGATTTCAGAGAAATTGGCATAAACTGCAGAATAAATAAAGCTTGCCTCCGTTACTTGCTGGTTACTCAAAATTAAGATTTATTAGGCAGTTCTGCTTTAGAGAAAATTATTATGGTCTTGCCCATGTCATGACTGGCTGTAGCTCATTTATCATTTATTTGCTATTTTCATGACTGAAGTAAAACAGTCCTATAATTTAAGTTGAAACAAGCACACACAAATCATATTCCCATTACAGACACTGGCAGGACAACATAATTTGTCGTTGAAAAGCTTAGCACCATTTAGGATTGGCCAGTCATTGCCTATTATCTAATTCTGATTCTAGAAGCTTCTCTTCTCTAAAAAAAAAAGTTGAATTACATGGATACAAGAAACAAGCACATCACTATATTCTTTATAACCACACAATGCCTGGCACATCAAAAATACTCATTGAATAGGTCTTGAATTAAGTACATAATCCAAATAATGGTGAATAATTTTTCTTCATGATATTTTAAGCATATCTAAAAATAAAAAGTGGTAAAACAGAATCTGGAGTTAGTATGTAAAATCATATGAGCAATGCATTACCTGCATTATATCTTTGAATATTTTAATGGATGAGAGGAAAGTAAAATTTATGAGCAATTCTTATCTCTAATTCATTATATGTAAAACTGGAGGGAAAAAAGGAAAAGGAGAAAAAAGTATATGGATGTTCTTATGGGTTATACTGGCAAGAAAAAAATGTTGCTATAAAACAGCCTGCAATGATCTAAAA